GAAACGTTAGGAAACAAAACTTCCAGAACACAGCCACACAGCCCGGAAGACCCACACCAGCCACCAAGATTACATTCCTTTGCTTCTCTCACAGAGCCCTCAACTCTGCCATCACCAGCCCTGATCCTTGACTGAAATGGATTCAGAAAAATCAACCTCTTCCAAAGAGCATGGATTTGGTCAGCCACAAAATGCTCAATTCTTTGCACAGAAAGATAACATTTGCTGTAGGCTTATAAACTGAGATCTCCAGTTCAGTAGTGATAATACTATTGCCTCCTTTAAGAAAGTTTGAACCAACCCCTCTCATAAAAATGATTAGAGCTACAAAATTTGCTTAACTAAACTCTGAAACTCTGAAATGAAACTTGGGTACATTTAATTCAATAACAGCAGAAGATTGCTAAGTAATCTGAATTAGCTTAAACACATATGGTAGATGACATCATATTTCATATTCATATTCTTCTGCAATTAGGCGCCTATTACATGTGCTAGACTGTAATTCCCCTAATTTCCAGTCTACACAATCAAACCCTAACGTGACTAAACATTCTGGGAATCACGGTCCAACACATTGAACAGTCAGCAGATAAAAGAAGGTCTGCCTGTCAGTGAAGGCAAAATGCTTATTCTAAGACAGTACTTGCTGTGGTATATGGACATTACCAAAATAGTAATTTTCTTTCAGAATCTCTGCATGTATGCATGTACATGTTTGTGTATCTATATCTATCTATATTGATTTAATATATCCACACTCATACTAATTAATAGCATCAACTTCATTTCTACTGAGAAGTAAATCCCAGAAAAATCAGGGGAAATGTGTTAAGACAATGTACTTCATATTACAGTGGAATATTTCTATAACTGGATGATAATCTCCAGAAATAAAGAATTTCTTTTGACAGCAATCAGAGTCAATACAGCACTCTTACTTGGTAGTGTAGAGATGAAGAGAATGTTGAGGTGCAGATTTCCTGTTGCCTATAAAACAAAATTAGCACAGTTAATGCCATCAACTATATTGATGCCAATGAAATAATCAACTGTTAATTACTTGCCAAGATCTCTGCATAATGGCAGTACAGAACATCATAACCCATTCATAACTGCTCTCAAGGGTGTGGGTGATGTTAATATAAACTAGCTAGACCAGCTAAAGTAAGTATCAGAACTTAAATGAGAGACAATGGATAGCGCACTATTCTTTGAAGAGGACACATTAACAGAAGTACAACATTTAAGTCATTTAGATAAGTCATTTAGTAAAAAGAGGAAACAAAAGGCATCAGCATTCTCAAAGGAGTTCTCAAACCATTAGAATTTACTTATCTCGCAAGGGCTTGAAAATATCCATCTACGACCTAGAAGAATCTAGGAGGACAAATTTCAGAGCCATTAGCAAATACACTGAACAATTCTTGGGAAACCGCCATCGTTTCAACATCCTCTTTGGCACTTCCACCTTAACTACTCAGAAAACCAAACAATTTTGTTAGATTGTTGTTAAGATAAAATGGACTATGGGCGTTCAGTCATTTATTATTTTGATACCTTCAAGTCATGGTGACTCCTGGTAACTACTTGGATTAGTCCCTGCAGTTTTCTTGGCAAGATTTTTTGGAAGTGGTTTGCCACTACCTCCTTCCTAGGCTAGGAGGGACTGGCCCAAGGTCACCCAGCTGGCTTTGTGCCTAAGGTGAGACTAGAACTCATGATCTCCCGGTTTCTAGCCTGGTGCCTCAACCACTACACCAAACTGGCTCTACTAATGTAGTCATATTTTATGCTGCACCATAAGGTTCCTGGGCCAGAGAAGACAGGTTTTACTGTAAAATTCTTTAGATTCTTCTATCACAAGCCACAGGGCCTTCAATATTCCTCTTAAATCTAAGCTAATGCATTTGATAAGCAAGAGCAATAATTTTTATCTTTCTTTCTCAGGAATTTGATCACACTGCAAACTTTTTGGGTACACAGATAAGGGTATGGCAGTTGTGACTGGACTACAAGTGCATCCTTTCCTTCTACTCAGAATTTTGCTAATGACATCAGTTTGCTTCATTTCCAGAATTAGGTGCCTTAAGTTTTTTGGTTCTAATTTGAAGGCAGCTTATGGCCACCACAGACAAAGCACTCATGTGTTCTACCATCATATGATCAAGACTGCACCAAGTAACCCTCTGCCCCACACTCTGTGTAGTTTGTATCCATACACAAAAAAGGTTTTTCATGCATAAGCCTACATTCGCTTTCCAGGCTGTATGGAAGATTTCACCCTTGGATTTCACCCATGTGAAGCTTCTTTCCTTACATTGAATAGAGCCAGGCTAATTGCCAAAAGTTAGTTTGTATGGTCTAATTTCTGGCTCGGGCACTGATAGGATACCTGAAAGCATCATCATCATCATCATCATCATCATCATCATCATCATCATCATCATCATCCTGTAATCTGTATATGGCTCAAGGTTTTGTCATTCAGATATTAAAGCAAGATGGGGTTCTCAGAATGCTGTAGGTTGTTGGGAACAGCTTCAATACTTATTCACGATAGATAAGTGCACTGTGACTGAATAGGACCCCTAGTTTTCTACCACCCTCAGGATAATCCCAATCATAAAAAACAGTAAAAAAAATCATAACCTGTCTTTCCCCCACTCTTGTGTTTCCCAAAACAAAACTAAGTCCCTAGCCTTCATGAGTGAAGACAGGTTTGAAAATGTGTTGCTAACAATTTCTAAAATGTCATAAAACAGTGAAGTACACCATTTAAAGCTTTTTAATGGTTGGGAGTAAGGTTTTAATATTCTCCGCCATCCCACATCTCTACCAAAATTTTTCTTTGCAAATAATTTAGATAACCGTAACCCCTATATCTAAAAAAATATTAATCAAAGAATATAGCAGACTTTTATGTATTATTATTATTATTATTATTATTATTATTATTATTATTATTCCTGCATATTTTTTGCAAGGCCAACTCAAACCAGCAGTCTAAATCTCAAGACTATTTTCCCTGGCAAAGCACAATATATAATTTCCATCTGCCAGTTTGATCACAGATATTTGTTCTTGAAAAATCCCTGGCTGATCAATCACATGTGTTGCAATGTAAAAAGAATTCTCTCTCCTCTAGATCAGATTATTACATTGCTCTGAGTTCTCTTCACTTTTCTCATCAACGCATGGAGATGGTTCTCCTCTTGGTACTTTTCTTTTGAAAGCACAGGACAGTGCAGTTGAAACAAACTGGGGACAGCTTTGCCAAAGCAGCAAACAAACAAAAGCAAAACAAAACGAGAGCTGGATTCCTAGGCAACCTGTAACTCTACAGCTGTATAGGTTATGTTCTCAACTGGACTTTTAAACGTTATTGTTGTCAAAATGCTAATTAACTGACCAATTAACTGAAAATGGATCTTCCATTTACGGTAGCCTTCCATTTACAAACTACATTAATTTGGCAAATATTAAATTAATAAGAATTTGCTTAATTTGGTAAGTTAACACTTTCACACATTGAGGCTTAACACAACTAACTAAAACGAATAGAAATAGAATCTCATTAGTGTGGACAGTTTTCTACTTTCTCCAGATATTTCCTTCTCTTAATTATTCCTCCATTTAATATTTTGTTTCTGGATCTTTGTTTTAACTATCTCAGTCCCTTTCCTTCAGTCCAGGAACTAGAATTTCAACCAATTATTTTTTTAAAAAGTTAGGTTAACTAAAACGAATAGAAATAGAATCTCATTAGTGTGGACAGTTTTCTACTTTCTCCAGATATTTCCTTCTCTTAATTATTCCTCCATTTAATATTTTGTTTCTGGATCTTTGTTTTAACTATCTCAGTCCCTTTCCTTCAGTCCAGGAACTAGAATTTCAACCAATTATTTTTTTAAAAAGTTAGGTTCCTTTTTGCTCTATATTACTTTCCCCTCTTTACCAACCAGTTCCTGATTTATAAGTACTGGGATGAAAGCTTGTATTCTCTCCTGGTAATTTCATCATGTTGACATCTTCCTTTTTTAAAAAAGGAAACAAAATTAAAATAACTGAAAAGTTTCTTGGAATTTCAGATTCCCAAATATTATTTTAAACCTCTAATTTAAAAAAGCCACTTGTAGTAGGTGTTAATTATGAACATTTAGCTTCCTGTTTTTCCTTTTCAATAATACTGTCTCACTGATGGTACAAATATTTTTCTTTGAGACAGCTTTCTTTCTGATGCCATAACAAGGTAATTCTAACTTCTATTGCTCTTACAAGTCCAAGGGACTGAAACAGATCTAAAAATCAATCTGGAAGCTAGATGACTAGTTCATCTGGAAGTATTTATTTCTCCATCTGATACAGTTTGATTTACTCATGCATGCCAACAATCCATGCCATGTTGCCAACATCAGTAAAATTGGAACATTAGGGTTCATTAAGTGCTCACTTTGGCAGCACATATACTAAAATTGTCTTGTCTTAGTTCATTAGCTTGGCTCATATTTATACAATTTACCTTGTTAATTGTCCTCTCCTCATATACTGCCAGGCTCAGTTTAAGATATATTTTTTAAAAAAAAGTTTCCAGAACTAAATGTTTTGGGCCCTGAAAAAGCTCATTCTTTTCATACCTGAACTTCCATAGAAGATGCTCAGCATCATTCCTACCAGTGACTTTGAGGCAGATAGTGATCCATAATGGGATGCCATAATTAACATGGTTCTACCCTTCTCCTAGTTCTATAACTGATGCCTTTCCAGTTCCAAGCCAAAAGCCTTTTCATTCTGCATCTTCAAGCTTGACTTGAATAATTCCCTATCATTCTTTTTAACTGTTATTCTATTATTTTCCATGTTTATCCATTACTATGAATCACTGCTCTGAAGAATACTATCAACATGAACAAGGTGAAAACACAGTTCTATATTAAATTGATGACAAGTACAGCTATCTATCCGTGATCCAGGATTTCCAGTTAATGGTTGACTGATGCACAATTATGAAAATTGAATAAGGATACAATTGTAGTCTCATGAGGTAAGCTAGCCTCGGAGTTTCTTTTGGGGAGGAAGTTCACATTGTAGTGAAGGACAGGACACATTAGAAACCATGATGGCAATTTACAAGACAGCGTCTGCTCAGAATTATTCAGATTTTCAAAGCTACGGGAAAGATTGTGATCCAGGGTTTCTGTCAAATCTATTAAGGCTGCAGGATTGGACATAGTTGCATGCAAAGGGTTAATCACTCTATGTAATAAGCAAGGGTCTTCTGTCAATTCCCCTTTAACAGGAAGATAGCGGGATTCTGACCCCAACAAACAATAGCTAGAACTGTATTAGCAAAAACTAGTTCAGCAGCATCGTTTGCCAATAATTTTAAAAACAGATTTAACATTCCATCTTCTTTCCCCACCCCCATTCTTTTATCATATAGTCCAAGTGAAGAGAGAAGATGGGAATTGGGGTAAGGCAGATAAATTTCCATTGCCTAACCTCAAATGCCACAAGAATGTGTCTTAGTACCTGCCAAGCAAGAAACTTCAGACCACAGCTTGGAAGGAAGATTGTACGTGTGTGTGAGTGTGAGAGAAAGAGAGTGAAAAGTAATTATAACAGTATCAGCTTTGACTTTTTGATCTTTCAAAAAGCCACATTAAAACAGCAGCATTAGTGCATCCTGCAATAGACAGGAATGACTCAAAAGACCACTGCACCATCATTTCCTCTGTCTGCATCACCCCTAAATTACGCACCAACAAAAGTAGTGGTACTGTATAAGAAGATTTCATTTCACAATGGATTTCTCTGAATTTGAAGGAACAGATGAAATCCAAACACATTCAACGTTTTAAAATATTCACAGGTATGGAATGTACTGAAGCAAATGAACTGGCAGGGTGAACTGTACTCATGGATTTACCTGCAAATATGTAACAGTCAAAGTTGCTTATGTATACTCACACTCTAAATGCAGAAACCTGCAGCAAGAGAATGGAAACTGGAGGAACTTGGAATAATTTTTAAGGCATCCCCTGAATCTCCCCCAAATAAAAATTAGGGATAGTGTTTAAAGTAGGGAAGACTGGAAATTAAGGTACCATTCTTTTTAGAGACTGCTGGAGCATTTAAAGCGAAAATCTGAGAATGCAAAGCTTAAATGCATTCTTAAAATCTGCTACTTTTCTAACATCAGATAATAAGTAAAATAACCTTTGAGTTAATGTTGACATTAGAAATGCAAAACAATACTATGAGAGGCTGGTCTTTCAATTACTCATAGCAGATATATTAATCTCACTATTTTTACATTAAATAAAAACCTTTCCTCAGACTTTTTCTACTTCTTCCTTTAACTGCCTTAAAATCAACAAGCAAACAAAAGCCATAATTGAGCGCCTCCTTGATCTCAACCCAGTATTGTCAACTCTGACTAGCTATATCCCTGCTTTATCTAGGACAGGATTTCTGTAAATGAGCTTCTTACCCAATGGTCTGTAAATCAGAAATGCTGAAATGCTTTGGGGTGAGGGGAGCTGGACTTGGACTCTCCTCTGTGAAGAGCTTCCATTACATCATAAATCTACAGCATCTTTTATACTGTGCATCTTCTTCATCCAGAAAAGAACCATACAATTAGGAACAATCCACAGAAGTGATAAGAATCTGGTTTTCTTCCACATTTCAAAGAAAAAGATTCATACAAACCTAGGCCACATGCTTGCTTATTCTGCCTTTTGCAACTCTATTTACACGCTCACAACTAGGCATCTGAAGTTAATGGACCATGAAGAAGAATTGTCAGCTTACCTTCTATGTCATCTGGAACCGTAGCATAAGTGTTAGAAAGGTTAAGCTTCAGAATGTCAGGATATTCTTTATTTACAGTCAAGCTGGGTGATGTCACTAGATCTAGCATTTCCTTATACCTGGAGGAAAGCAAAAAAAAAAGGGGGGGGAAGGGACCCAGATAATTTATTCATTAATTATGCATGCTTGCTAATGATTCCACTTTTTTTCCCTAGGAATACAAATATTAAAGCTGATTACCTAAACCCAGCCTTCATATAAATTCTGCATAAACAACATTCACGAAAAAAGTTTCCATCAAAGGGAAAATGCTGAATTAAAAATCAAGCATTGACTTTCCTTGGAGATTACAACTATTTGATTAAATATTTTCCTGTATATCCTGGATTTTGCCATCAGATGATTACTTTTATATATTGCTTAAATACCATAAGGAGCAAGCCATGAATTCTAGTATTACCATCACTTTCCAATGCGGACGATTTTATCAGAGAAGAGTGCAGGTTACCAAACTGTTTTAAACAGAAAGGTTTTTGACAGGGTTGCAGTTATGGAGGATTTAAAGTGAGGATACCTTTAAATGGGAAAGATCCAGGTTAACACACCTGGTCAATTTATTATTGAAGTGAATGTGATTTAAGCAGCCTTTACTTTCTGTAGGATTGTGCTCACAACTATTAGACTCTCCCTTCCTGGAGGAAAAAAAACAATGCTTTCTGTGATCAAGACATTTAATGGTAAGGCAGTTAGACTCAACTTCTCAACTTCTAATATTACCTGGTTGGCTTTCATCATTTTTTTTTTTTTGGCCAAGAATAACAGATGGAGCTGTTAAGACACCAGCCCCATAGTCTGCCACTACACTGACTTTTAAATTTATTTTGATGACAGGATGTAGAGCAATGCCCTCTCTCTGAAAATTAGCAAATTTAGCAAATTAGCAAAAAATTAGCAAAATTAGCAAATTACCTACACAACAGGTAGCATTTTCAGGGGTGGATCTGGACAAATCCCTGTACTAGCTAGCACTATAACTAGCTAACACTATAAGGGATAATGCTTTGCCAATTTGGAGACACGGCTGAAATATTTAGTAACAGCAGGTGCCCTAACCATTCTAGGCTGATGTAAAAAAAAAAGCCCAAGCAGGTACAGAACTGGTTGAACTTCCTGGTAGGAGACCACTAGTAAATGGAAAGTTGCAAAACCTCCCAGGAGGTGACATTGGGAAACCACTTCTATACTATTTATCAACAAAGATACAAGGAAAGCCACAGCCATGTAATCACCAGGAGTCAAGCTTTTTACCCTTTATGAATAGATTTGGTGTATTCATTTTAATTACTGAATTAGTCGATTCATCTATTGTTGCATAGCTACTATCAAAGCTACTCTAAATGCAATCTGTATTAGAGAAAGAGAAGGGTTCTTTTCATTCAATCCACCAACTCCCCCCCAAACTTTATAATTTTAGCCAAATTATGCCTCCTTATCATAACTGTCATAATTTTCTTACAAGGAAGACAGGCAGATATCAAAAGATTCTTATTAATATTTATTGCTTGAGATTTTGAAAAATCTCAGGTTTTGCTGATTATCCAAGTTCTTTTAAAAACTCTGATAATAGTGCAGGATGCACAGTTCCTCAGGAATCTGATTAACACCTCTGCAATTAAGTAAGAAATAAAGAGTTTATTGAGAAGAACATGTTTCCTACAAAGCCATTTGAAAAAAATTCAGCTCAGCTTTGAGCACTGAAGATGCTAATACAATTGTAGAAAATCAGCATGCATTCTTTCCTTTCACCATCCACATAATTGAACATCAAGGCAGTTGTTCATGCAAAGACCCAATTATAGAGAAAAATAAATCTCTATTGCTAAAGCAATCAAGCTACCTCCCACTCATGTCTATCTCTATAGAATAAAGAACCAGTTTGGCGTAGCAGACAGAACACTGGACTTTGGCCAGATCATGTGGGGATGAATGCAGTAGCTTCTCCTCTCCTCTAATACCATTACTTCAAAACATCACACTGAAATTACACCCGGCTTTTTCTAGTATGGGAGGCAAATTTGCCATTTCTCACCTACCCAGATTTCTCCACCTTATACTGCTGAGATAAATTTATGACAAAGAAAAGGAAGGAGAACTATATACTGTATACTAGCCTGAGAATCCTGTTCTCTCCAGACTCCCAAATCTCAAAAATATACTGCATATTCTAATAACTAGCTACTCAACCACAATGAAAAGCAGCCATTCTACATGTTTGAAGAGATCTTTCATGTTTTTCAAGGGGAGGCCCCAAATTCAACATAAGCTACATAAGCAACTCCAAATGAAGAGCAATCTGTTTTTTTAAATAGGATCCTGCAGGGATTATCTCCATCGCTACCCCAAACCAAAATTATTGCATTATTTTGTGGACCTCTTTGCTTTGCACTGTCAGCTTCATGAGTCTTCACTGCAGTCATGCGGATACACCCAACCCGAGCAGTACAGGAAAATATGCACCCTCTCTCCCCCCAGGACCCCATCCCATCTAGTGTTGTGTTTTACAGCTGCACAGAGCAGATTGCACCATTTGTTAGACCTGTCGTCACTCCAGATCCCCTGGGGCTACAACATTAAGGCAAACGCATGACTGTGCTTTTAGAAGAGTACTCCCCAGCAGTGCCAGAGAGCAGAACTTAGGAGATGACAGCTGGGAAGTGGGAAGGGGAGGAGAGCAACTTCAAAAGGTTCCTACTGCTGCTAATGGATTAGAAGCATATGGAAGGTTCCAAGTAGGGCCTGAACCAGCTCACCTTTTGATTTACCCCTGTGGGCTTTTGTTCAGCTACCTAAGCTGCAGATGACTACCTACGCGCAGAGATAAAGATACAGCATTCAGCAGTAGAAAGGTAACAGATGGCATGGCAATGGCCACAGGGAATGACGAGGGGGAGAACAAATGACTGAGATTAAAGTCACTGACTTAAGGGATGCAGAATATGAGGGTGTCTCACCTAACCTATACAAATGAAGGAAGCCTCTGCTTTCTAGTATATGTAACAGGAGAAGTATAAGTTGTTGTTATTCCTGTAGCATATGGCTTGATCTGTAATGGACACAGTGGGTCCTTTTGCCATGTAAGCAGGTTTAATATTCTTACGGTCAGGAAACCAGCCCTGGAGAGCCCATGCCAGCATAGTTCATATTGAACTAGATGGACCAATGGTCTGATTTAGTAAATGGCAACTTCCTAGGCTGCGTTAATGTTAACTTTTCATGTAGTGCAAAACAGAGGCAACTTCTATGTCTATTCTTGCATCTCATGCTTGGGACTGGTCAAGTGTCTGTTTATTACAAAAGTCCGAAAGAGGAGATCTGGATCTTGGACTGTAGCATGGAGGGTGGCTCTTAATCCCATCCTCTTCACCCTGCTGCACTTCCCCTTCTCAACCACTCCTGCCTATGTTCTGCAATATAGGTTTTTAAGATAATGTGCATGCTTCCAAGTTCTCAAAGAAGAAGAATTTAACATAATCAGTACTTTACCCTACATAAAAATAAGCTCCAATGCATTCATCACAGGCAGCCTACCATTGTACAAAACTCCAAATGGATTACAGTTCTGTCTTCATCCACTGAATCCATAGGCATACAATGTAATTAAAGTCACTAAGTAGTAATGAAATTCCAGAATGAAATATTAAAATGCCCCCCAGAGTCTACCTCCAATTATGTTTTTTGATTGGTACTTAATTAGGCATGCTGTCATGTGTGATAAGAGCACAAATGTCTATAAGTGCCCTGAAATTGGATTCTAATTTAAAACAGAAGACCTGGTATTACAACTTTTCCCCACCTTGCTGGGAATTATGGGGACTAATATCCAACATATCTGAGAGGCACCAAGTTGGAGAAAGTAGCATTAGCAGATCCTAACACAATAATGGTAAACACTACGATGGAGTAAAGTGAGTCAAAACATGAACATTTGTGATTTAATATATCATGAAAATTAACAATGAACACAAAGAAGTTACATAAATATAAAGTGGTAGATATGAGTACATCCCATTGCGAACAATTATGTCTGTAGTTAATTGAATTCAGATGCACTCTGCTATCTAGTTTCATTTAGATTCATTAAGCTACATAATTTATATGCAAGTACAAAGTGATTAGCCTTTGGCTCTAGAATACTGCCTAGAAGCACCTTGTTCCCAGGTCACACAGACTCAACAACAAAACTGGAAATGAAACCCAAGAGCCCTAACTTTGTGCTTCTCCAAACATTATTTGTTTAAATACAATAAAACTTTGCAATATTAGTAAAACATATTGTGGTACCATTATTATTAAAGGTCAGCCTATGATATTCACCAAGAAAAGTAATGTCCAATAGATTAATATACATTTGAAGTAGGCAATATACATTTAAATTATTTTATATATTGTAATTGAGAGACAGAGGACTTGGGGCAGAACCGCTGTTTTGGCTATTCCAGTGCCAGAGCTATAACTATTACAAACATCAGAACTGGAACAGCTTCCAAGTCATAAGATTGCTTACCTGAATATTAAGTTTTTTAAAAAAGTAATATGCATGAGAAAAAAAAGCAAAAATAAAATATTTCCATCATTTTTTCACCTATTGAATTTCAGCCTCTTCTGTGATTCATAGCAAAGGATCATGGCAAGAAAATCAGGTATTAGTTTGGCTTCATATTGACTCAACTGCATTGACTGCAACAAAACTGTTCAGAGATAACCTGTATCTTCTGTCTAGAACAGTGTTTCTCAACCTTGGCAGCATTCAGAGGTGTGGACTTCAGCTCCCAGAATTCCCCAGCCAGCCATGGGGAACACAATTTGAACACAATTTGTTCAAAAGGAACAGAAACAGAATAGAAAGGGAGAAATTAGACTTTAAATTAAAAATTGATTCCTGCTCAAAAATCCAAATGAATGAACCAACAGCGTCTTTTCAGGGTTAAGGGGGAGTCTGAGTGACGTAAGTTGCATCATGACATCATGGCACAAGCCCTGCCTCTTTTCTACCTAAGTTGTAGCATTCTACACATGCCTAAAAAGGGAGGACTTGTATGTGTGCTGATG